TGTGTATGATATTAAGGATGTCACAATAAATGGCATGAGTAATTTGTAGCATATGATTTGGAGATCATTGAATAAATATAAAAGTGATTGCAATTCACAAATGGCGGCTGCAAGGGCTCGATACTCATCATCAAAAGAGAATTGTGAGACAGTTAATTGCTTCTTAGTGCTACATGAAATTAGTGACATGCTAGACAATTAATTGCTTCTTAGTGCTACATGAAATTAGTGACATGCTGTTCGATCAAATTTATGGCGAAAAATCTTTAATATCTTATTAAAGGTTATTTGCAAAATCGACTACAAAATAATAGACTTAGTTTTAAGTATGAAATGGTTATTTAAGTGTTTTGGGTTTGAAATGGTGGACAAGAAATTTGATGATTTGCGTTCGTGTAGCTAAAGTAAATAAATGAGAAAAAACAAGACAAAAATGGAAAGTAGATTGTGTGAAAATAACTCGTTTCTCTTAGACGCTTGTACTTTGTGTGTTTTCTTTGCAATGTTACAAAATGCGACCTCTTGAACTGAAACTAAATTCTACTTAAATAGACATAAAAAATAACTACTGGTTCGCTGTTGACTATTCACAGCTTGCCATGCGTCCACCCATGCACACCCATGTTGTTTGTAACTTCCCTACGTTCTCATCAGCTGCAAAACTTGCCAATTTTAGCTTGGCTTCGACCTCAGTCAAAATGGTTGTACGTCGATCTTGCTTTGACTTTAGTCTGAAGGGTTGTCCGTCGAGCTTGCTTCGACTTGGCCCTTATGTTCCTTTTCTTTTCTTGTCTGCCGAACCTCTTTAGTGACGTCAGCTTAGTTCGATGTTTCTTCGTTTGTGATGCAAAGCTTCTCCCTTTGCTTCACTTCTCTTCCCCTAGTCGAAATTTGCTAGCTAATAAATTGCCCCCTAAAAGGCCTATTTTGACCAAGATTATCTTCAAATGAGTGTTAGGAAGTATTTTGGGGTAGTGTTTTATCGTCTCCACGGGGATTGAAGAGAATATAAATGCTTGTCGTTCAACAATTTAATGTCTTAAGAAAAAGGGTTTTTAGAATGATTTCAATTTTCGTAACTAAAGTTTGCAAGAAAGAAAGCGAATAAAATTCGGTCTAAGTTTGATAAAAACATGTCAAGATTAGGGTTCGCTAGTCCATCCTAAACGTATTCACCCGATCAAATATGCGAATGAAGTTTTAACCAACATAACCGCGTATCCTCGCAAAAACGTTCATGTCTAAATCGATTTCGTGGTTGTTATTGTTTCGACCGTTAAATGATCTCTCTAAGTAACAATCAAAATAATAAGCATTAAGATCAATACAAAGCGGATATCAACTTTCAAACCTATGTTTAGAATTTGTATAGTTGATAGATGAAGATATTAGGTCAAAACTTGGAAAGTTCATGTCTAAAGCATTCCAAACCATAAATGTACAAAGAGTAGCAAATAACTTCTTCTATATTGATCACAATATTTGTTCACATACAAAAGATCAAATGGAATACATAAAATTTGAACTAACTACTTCTAACCTTGACAAGAGAGGGATTTAGCCAACCATTTCCATGATAGCTTGAGCAACAAGTTTCCGAAGAAGGTTGATCAACATTCGAGTTGAATAATCGAGATTGGATAGAAATCCACCTTCTTTTTGTGAAATATTGCTAAGAGATGATCAGAAATGGAGGAATGAGTTTTCTAGGTCAAAAAATCCTCTCAAATGCAAGTACAAAAAATTAGATATTTTTACAAAAAGTAGCTCATACTACTTATAGAAGTGACTACTGAGCTGTCACGTTCGTAGTGCGAACGAATTGTTCGCCTAGCGAACACCTAAAATGGCACCTGAAGTGCCTATGTCCTGTGAAAGCTCCCCAGACAGAAATCCCAATGTTCGCTGTGCGAAGAATTGTTCGCCTAGTGAAGCCTCCGCTGCAAACTTCGCACAACAAGTTTATGGCCCTTTCCTTACTGTCTTAAGTCTGGGAGTGTTCGCTACCTCTTCGCTGCTACTTCGCCCAGCGAGCTCTTCGCTGCCTCCTTCGCCTAGCGAGTTTATGACCTTTTCCTTACTATTTTGGATTCCTGGCCTTCGCTGCATAGTTCGCCTAGCGAACTTTATGATGTTTTGGTGGCAGCTTCGCTAGCAAGTTCGCCTGTACGGCCACAAATTTGCTTTTCCTTTTTATTTTTTTTAAGCCGTGTGAGTGTGTTGTCTTTTTCCGGTCTCCTTCCCTTTTCAACCATGCAACTTAGGTATATATAAGAATCAAATTAGGCTTAACTCTAAATTGTCAATAATGTCCCTAATATTTATTTTAGAGCCTAAATTAAATAATATTAAATCTAAAATAAAAATAAATATTTAAACTAAAATACTAGTTATCCTATTTATTTATACTAAACATTTATACAAAAAATATAAAAATAAACGGACCCCAAATAAATAAAAGTCGGACGTTTAAGTGCTCAAAAAAATAAATCGAGTACACTAAAATGATCAGCACGAAATAAACGACTCCAAAAAATACAGCGTTTGGTCAGTTTTTAAAATAAATTTTGACCCGTTAAAATGTTCAAACGAATCAAAATGCGACGAAAAATGGTCAAAAAATTAAAACGAACACGTCAGGTTAAACTACGCGAAACGTAGGTTAATATAACTGATGTATGCAAACTCGATTTTTAAATTTTCTGTCCGCTAATTTTACGCACCGTTGAGATTTAGTTTGACCAGTCTGCCTGTAAATCCGAAAATTTATTCTGGGTGACATTTTAGGCGCTATGCGAGATGAAATGCATGCTATGTTATGCAAAGTAAAAATAAAGTCAGATGGGTAAAAAATTTAAGATACTCGGACAAAATTGGGGTATGACTATTACTCCTTCATCTGGTTAATCCTTGTTAAAGATTCAGTTTAAACCTTCAGTCACTTATATAGCAGTTGCAGCAGACTAGCCGTTGGAAGAGATAACTTGATCAAGTGTCTTTGCATTACTCCATAGTACAAGAGCCGTTGAAGATAAATACGCCAAAAGATATTGATCCATTGTGTAACATGTTTAACCTTTGAGTCTTCAAAAAGATCATGTACTATAGAGCTATTGAGAGTAGATATCTGTAAAACATGTCAACCTTTCTTGAGCCTTGTGAACTCAGACTCCAGCTGACAAACTGATTTGACAATGCAGTTTGCTTTATGCAGTACGGACAACTTCAGCTTTATCATCTACTCTGATACAAGAAGTCAATTTACATTCACCAAGTGTAGAGACAATTATGTTGTTTCTTTTGATGCTGAGACCTTCAGCTTCAGAGTCTACGCCAGACATCACTTAGCAAGTGTTATTCATATTCTGCGCCACCTGTGTGGTTAATGAATATGTTGAAGGAGCTGGGCAGCAAAGAGGGTGACGATATAGTGCTCATGGTTGATAACGTTTTCAGTATAAACCTTGATATGATCCCAATTGCTCATGAGATGCGCAAGCATATTGAGATAAGGTTTCACTATTTGAGAGAACTTGTTAATAAAGGAAGGTTGAGATTGAGATATTGTAGAAGTGAAGATCAAGTGACTGATTTACTAACCAAAGTAGTCATAATTGAAGTGTTTAAGAGATTGAAGAAGAACATAGACATGAGAGACTTGAAAAACTTGAATTAAGGTAATGTGTTATGAAAATAACATTATTCAAACGTTGTACTCGGGTACTGCGTTTTGGTATCCCGGTTACCATTGTATTGAAAATTAGCTTTTAAAACAGTTGTACTGAGGTATTGCTTTTTTGTACCCGAATACCACTGTGTTGAGAATTTGTTTTAGAATACATATACCAAATTACAGAAAGCTGTACTTGGGTTACAGACAATCAACTTCAATTTTTCTATTTTTTCTATTTATTATTTGTAATGAGAATATTAAACCTCAATGCACTTTTTACCCTCAATTAATCTTTTTAATTCTCTCTCACAACCTCCTTTTTTACGCTCAATTACTCAATTTTTACCAATTTCGTAATTCAAAATTTTAACATTATTAACAATCTAATATTTTGTCTTGTACAACATTGTAAATCTTATAGTTATTTAGTCTACACCTTAAAAAGTACTTTTGTGTTACATAACATCTTTAAGATCTTCCTCCTTTACAATTACACGGCTTAAATTGATGATTTACATCCTTCAATTTCTCCATATTTTTTATTATGGATTAAAGATATATGATTAACAATGTTTCTCTTCAACTCTTTAATCTCTCATTAAATTTTTTTTTTTTCAACTTCTTAAATAAAACTATATCATCTAAAAACCACATATGTCATTAAATTTATTCAGTGAGATCATTCAAAATAAATAAATAAAATCTTATTATTTTGAAGCAAATTGGGTGCATTGTTGCCTAGCTGTAATTTACATATCATGTTAACTAGTCATATGCACATTTCATTATTACAAGTCATTACTATTATTTGGAATAAGCCAACTGTTCCAGCCTTCAAATTCAAACCAAACTTATCTACAAAATTAATAGCAAAAAAAAGCATTGTGTAATTAATTACCAACAGTCCCATATGCCACATTGTTGCATCTGCATCAGTACTATATTTGTCATCATAACTGTTAATGTATTACACAGTACTCAGAAATCAAATCAAATCTCAAGATGTACTAGATTTTACAATTCACATAAGTAAACCATTTGTATTCATCAGAATAATAAAATAATAATGTACATATTAGTTATTTTTAGGGCACAAACACAATTTTTTTTATAAATTAAACATCATGAAAAATGACAATAATCACTATAAAAAAAAAAGAATTTTAAAAAAATAATTAAAGACAAAATAAAATTAGTCTTTAATTCCGTCATTTTTATTTTTAGTGACAGAATTAGAGACGTTTTTTGTCAGTAACTTTTTATTTAAAATTCAATTTTTTTAATAGTCAATAGAAAATCGAAATCAATTGAATTGTTATTCTCGATTTTAATCTTTCTTCTTTGATCCAACGATTCCATCGGTTCCTGCAAGCATAGCATACTTATCTTTCCTTGTTAAATTGGTACATTCAAATCCAAGAGTCCCTCCAAGAACCCTTTGAATATAATTTGCAACTTCGATCGAAGATTTCCCTCCATTGCAAGTCAACTCCAAAGGCAATTGATTCAAGAAAGTGATCTCATAAGTCGGCATAGGGTTCATGAACACAAAATAAGGATCCAACAATTTGTGTCCCCGAACCGATGTCCCATAAAACATGCTTTGTTTTGTATTGATTGCCACTGGAACAATCCTATCCGTTAACTCAGCGAAAAGAGCACTAAACCTCAACAAAAACGGCTCCCTACAAGTCGTTCCTTCAGGACAAATCACTAAATCACCTTCTTCAAGTAATTTTTTTATATTCGCAGCGTCTCTGTCTCTCTCCCTTGTAAGCGCGACCGCTTTTATAGGCGAAATAATCTCAGTGAACTTACTTATACTATAAGTTACACAACTTATTTTTCTTCCTAATGCAACTGCTGTAACAACTGGATCTAAAACTGTTCTATGGTTGCAAATAAATAGTACACCACTTTGTCCATTTTTTGGTGGTGGTGGAGGTGTTCCTTTTCTAATTACTCTTATTCCAAGTAACTTATAATTGTACCAAGCAATTTTTTCAGGTAAAGGTATGTTGAGATAGACCCTTAAGATTGAAAGTATGATCCCAATTGGCATCCATAGGAAGGTTAAGAGTGCAACTAGAGGGGTTGGTTTTTGGACTAATCTACCCTCATGAAAAATTATTGGGCTTAGAAGCTTGTTTCTTGGTAATGGCTCACATTTGGTCCTTGGCACCATGTAACCTTCCTGTAAAATGAAAAATATATAAACTCAGCATCTTTGTGATGATATATTTTTGCAGATTTAGATATATAGGAGGGACCAGTGCAAAGGTTGAGGCTATTAAATACTTGTTCCTAAATATAAATTTCTATTGCAAAATTTTCTATTTTATATTATGGAGAAAAAATACATAGTGTTTAATATGGTCATTTTATTTATCAACACTTAACATATCTTTTTATACATGTATATAATAAAGGACTTGATTTTTTTTATATGAAATTTTTAGGAGTATAGAAAAAGACATGATGCAAGATCAGAGAACAGTTTAAACGAAAAGACAAATAGATTTAAGAAAAGAGGAGGTGCAATGTTGAACAACATGTTATGCTCATTAAAATTCTCACCCAACATTGAAAAATTAGGGGCCAATCTTATTTATTAATCCCCATGTTAGAGTACATGCTAGTTTTGTAGGGTAAAGAAACAGCTCATGAAAGTTATCCTCTTAATTGAAAAAGAAATTTGAAAAAGAGACACACACACACACATATATATATATATATATATATATATATATATATATATATATATATATATATATATATATATATATATATATATATATATATATATATATATATATATATATATATATATATATATATATATATATATATATATATATATATATATATATATATATATATATATATATATATATATATATATGCGCACGCGAGAACATATACGACATTGAACTTATTCGAATGGTTGAAATATCACAAATTTAAATTTATATTCTTATAATCGAATGATATTGCAATACTATTATCTAATTTAGTTTAAAAGAATTATAAGTGATCTATTTAATTTAAAGGGTCATGCTAACCAATGCCCTCAGGGCACTAGTTAAGAATTCCAAATAAGAAAAATATGTTATATTTAGTTCACTCAATATATACAATATTTTTTAAAACGTCTGATTATTTCTCTTTTCAGGGCATTGAATACACATATATTTAGAAAAAAAATATATTTTTAATCTCTTAACTAATGCCCAACTTACTATTTTAATCTCTTAACCAATACTCAGACCTGAGGGCACTCGTTAGCATTTCCCTAATTTAAATTATGTGATTTTTATCTTTAAATAATTTTTGATAAAAATAAGATTTAATTCTAATTTTTCTCTTTTATTATATTTTAAGATCACTTAGATTTGGTCTTTCATTTTATAATTTTAAAAAAAAAAACAATGATACACATATGTTTTAAATGACATGCTAAATAATATATAATATTTAAAAGAATTAATTAATTATTTATCTTTAATTAAATTAATAATTTTTAAAATTGAAACTGAAGTTTGTAAGATATTTTTCTTGCAATTTCTTTGATACTAATTATTTTACATCATCATTAAGTTATATGTCATATTCTTATTCTTTTTTAGTATAAAAAAATAGAGATCAAGTAAAACTAGATTTTAAAATAGAAGAACCAATTAAGTGAGTAGAAAAAAAATATAATAATTTTTTTTTTTTATTATTAACTTTTCTAAATATTAATTATTTAATATTATAAAACTGTTTTATATAAAAAGAAAAAGTCAGAGATATACACCTCCATCCCCAAAAGAATATTTTAAGAATATTAACCTATAAAAAACAGACACATTAAATACACTAGTCAATTTTCCCTAATTTTCTTGAAAATAATCCCATATACATAAATAACTAAACAAAACGATAAATAGACAGGTGTATATTTATATATTAGGTGAGGGAATTAAATTTCCTACAAAAATAAACATCAATGGCCCATATAACTTAACTTTTTCAACCATCCATTCTCAACTATACTATCTTATATTAATTAACAAACATAGTTATTTCTTTATATAATATCAAAATAAGTCAAATTAGGGTCAACTAATTATGATTAATTAATTTTGAATATTAATCATTATCCATCTAATATTTAACTATCATTTTCCATCTCATGCAACATGAATGCAAAATTAGGTTACATAATTTGATGGATTAGTCTATGACAGTTTAATGCGTATATTAGTCTATGCAGTTTCATGCGCAGAAATGATATATTAGTCTCGATAATTTTACGTGCAGAGATATTCGATTTATATATTTTTCTTATAAAAAAAAAAGTTTAACTAACCTTGCAAATTGACATGAAATCAGAGTCAGTTACACTGTCTCCAAGTCCCAAATCAGGCAAGTTGTTACTTCCAAATTCTTTCATAACTGCCTCTTTCTTGTGTTCACCAACAAGAACTCCAGGCTCCTTAACAAACCCTGTTGCTCTCCCTCTTTTTGTAACCATCAATTCAGTTCCAAGCACCTTATCAACTCCCAAAAAACGTCTTAACAAAAGGCTCAACCATAATCCTCGGGCTCGCGGTAACAACATACCGTTTCCCGAACGAATTAAACACGTTCCACGTCACCGGATGCACGTCCTCGGCGTAAAACCTAGGCAAAACCGACCGGGAAACAATCTCAACGTCTCTTATCCTTAGTCCCGCAAATGTGACAAATATCAATGTTTTGATCGCCAGCGTCTCGGAGACGAATAGGTACGTGAAGTATATGAACGGGACTAAGGATAAGAGAAGTAACGCTCTTAGAATGCTTCCGGCCTCGAGTGCGACGAGCATGTAGTAGGGAAAGGCGCTCCGCGACACGAGAAGCGTGCCGTCTAAGTCGGATGCGACGGTTTGGTTTGATCTATCTTTTGTGCTACATTTGGAAATTGGTTGGAAACGAGGAAAGACTCCCATGACAAATTGAGGAAAGTTTTTTGAAGAAAATTTTGAGTTTTTGCTAAGATGTTTTGGGAGAGAAGATGGTTTTATGAGAGAGAGGGTGAAGGGGTTTTTAAAGGACTAAAGAAGTGTATGGTTGTGAATTGGTGAGCAATTTTGAGAAAGTAAATTTATAATTCAATGTAATATACTAATAATAATATGTGGTGCCAACTTTGAGAAATAAATGTGAAGTTTAATACTATAATATAATATATACTAATATGAAGTTCCAATAAATATTTATAAAGTAAGAATGCAACTAGTATTCTATGAAATTGTGTATGAATAAGCTTTGCTTAATTATTTTTAACAACTTGAGACTTATCATAATTCTTTTTAATGAATAATATAACCTAAGAAACTAATTCTCATCAATTTTTTTGGCTTAAAAGTACTTCTAATTTTTTTTTCCATTTAAATACTAATTTTCTCACTTAAAATTAAATGTTTAGTCCACTTTTTTTAACAATTAGTTTTTTATCTTCAATTTTTTTTAAATTTTCCACGCCATTCCCTTTTTCGAGTCGTCTATGTTGATATGACGTATTAGTTCATTAATGACATAAATACAAATAATTAATATTTCAAAAAAGCAATGAGCTCAGAAGAGTGATTATAATAATTTGCAAAATGGAATGAGACCTCATTGCTAAGTTAATTTCATATTTTGTTTCTATTTAATTTTTTGTTTTATTTTAATATTTTGGTTAAATTATAGTTTGATCCTTTTATTCTATCTAATTTACAAAATTAATTTTTTTATTTCAACTTCAAATAAATTGAGTTTTTTTTCACAATAATATGTGGTAGATAAACATTTGATGTTTTCTATAAACAAAGATATAAAAACAGAGAAGACTTTAGTAGAATGAACATGTTAAAGGAGTAAAAGTAGTGTGTATTATTTTTGGCGTGTGAGATAGGGAATTAGTTGTTGAGAAGAAAATGTGATAGAAGTAGTTGAGAATATTCAATTTGAGCCTACTTTTTAGTTTATAGATGATGTCCTTTGCTGCCTAATAAAATCAAAGTTGAACGGTTTGCTTTTAAAGTTTGTGTTTTCTTCATTAATTTGGCTATCTAACTTTATTAGCCAATTTAGGCAATACTAAATGTGTAGATAGATTGCTTTCTTAGTGTAAAATATGTCTTTAGACAATGGTGTTGTTGTACGTACCTTGACAATTCAACACTTCTTTATTATGGTGGGATGACTTTGGTCATTTCAAATACATATTGCCTTTATTTAGATTTTAGATTTTTTTTAGATGTTTAGCTTAGTTTTAGTTATTTTTAAAAGAATAGGATGCGGGAGATACCATCTTTTATATCTGGTAGATTTTAAAATTCGGCCAACACTAATTACTAGAATAATTCGCAAAAATATATAGTCTTCTTCTTGGAACTCAAGTGTCTTCTTCCTTTTATTATGGTGACTCTTCTGACAATTCTAGGAAGTTTTCATCTTCTTTTGAATCATATTGATCTTCTCAGAAGTTTGTTGTACAATCTCAGGTCCAATAATTGCACTCTAGCCTTACTTATACCAACGCAGAGGTGCCTTACACCTCATACCATACAAAGCCTCGAACGAGGTCATTTCAATACTTGAATGAAAACTGTTATTATAAGTGAACTCAATTAACGATATTGTGTGGGTATGTGATAATAGTGATGAAGAACAATGTTCACAACCATTTGGCGGATTAGATGAATACATGTAAAAAGGGTTAAACGTGTGTACGTATTTTGATCATTGTGTTTTATGCAAAACAATCGTTTATCCGATATGAGTGTCGTCTTTGTTTACCTGATTATCTTTGATTTGAACCGTAATAGAGATATACTCTTCAGATCTGGATCTAGGATGATTGCCTGTTAGGTCCTAAATTCTTGAGATAGGTTTAGGCTTAACATTTGCTTGAGTATTAGATCTTAATGTGTTGTGTTGTGTTTTTATTGGAAGAGAGATCTCCAATGAGACAACATGGTTGTTCTTTCGACGCTGCATTAGGGATAAGCTTTGTCGTGGGTGATACGTGGTGATATTAGACGAATGATTGCGCTGTGTTTAATTTGATCAGAAGAATGCATATGCTATCAATTGATGAAATCCAATCCCAACAAGACTCCGTTTATATTTCAGTCTTTATTTTATATTTTCTGTTTTTATTTGTGGTTCCTTGAACCTTTTAAACCAAAACTTTTGAACAATAAGCTTAGAAATGTAGAGGTCGTTGAACGGAATTCATATCGCACTAATCCTGTGGAGACGACAAAACTGGGTACTTAATATTTTTTGCTTGCTGCTTTATTGCTTCAACACCCATCGCACACCTATCGGTTTCTTTCCGAGTGGTAAATCGACCAACTCCCAAGTACCATTTTTCTCAATAGATTCCATCTCCTCTTTCATTGCACATATCCATTTAGGATCGCTTAAGGCTTCCTTCTCATTTACCGGTTCAGATTCGGCCACAAGCGGGAAATGAAAAAAAATCACAATCATTATTCACTTCGTTATCTTGGAACCTCTCATAGTCTCGGAGTCTATGAGACAAGGCTCTTTGCCTCACTGGTCTACCATTATTCACTACAACATTTTCCGCTACTGTAGGTGCAGGTACAACGGCATCGGAACCCTCCGGGTCAGACAACTCGAAGAACTGTTGCTGTTCTGTAGGGGGTAACCGATTAACAGCAATCGGGTAATCGATTACACCTGCTGTTTTAGCAGTTTTTATTTCTTCAAAAAATACATCCCGGGTTATCACGATTTTCCAATTCTTCTCATCAAATAGCTTGTAACCTCCAGTAGAGTGATATCCAACAAATATCAACTTCTCACATTTATCATCCAACTTATTTCTAAGTTGATTCGGTACATGACGATATGCAATCGATCCAAAAACGCGCAAATGATTCACACTCGGTTTGAAACCACTCCAAATCTCTTCTGGTGTGATCTTCTCCAGCTTCTTAGTAGGACACCTATTCAACAATTAGGGTGGCTGTAGACACGGCCACACCCCACAATTCCTTAGGCAACTTCTTCCCACAAAGCATACTACGCACCATGTTCATTATCGTATGATTTTTCCTCTCGGCAACTCCATTTTGTTGAGGCGTATACGGAGACACCACCTCACGCACAATACCCTCAAGATCACAAAACTTCCCAAAATCATTAGATGTATATTCACCTCCACCATCCATTTTGATAATTTTGAGCTTCCGACCGCTTTGACGCTCCACCATGGATTTGAAACTCTTGAGCACTCCAAATACCTCATCCTTCCTCTTGATAAGATATGACCAAAGCTTCCTATTAAAGTCGTCAATAAACGTAACAAAATATCGATTATCGCCATAAGTCTCTACTTGCATCGGTCCACAAACATCGGAATACACCACCTCAAGTAAGCCTTTGGTTCTTCGACCCACATCCTTGCTAAACACATTCTTGTGTTGCTTACTCTTCACACATTCCTCACACAATTCTGTCAGAACACTAATATGTGGCAGCCCCGTTACCATTTCACTTTGTTGCAACATTTTGAGATCCCTAAAATTTAGGTGACCAAGACGGTAATTCCATAACCAATCATCTCTACTTGCCACGGTAGCTAAACAACGATGATCCATAACCTTTAACTCAACCTTAAAAGTTCTATTGGCAGCCATCGACACTTTTAGAATCAACGCACCACTTGAATCTAAAACGCGTAACATCTTGTTCCTCAACCAAATTAAGTACCCTCTTTCAAGTAATTGGCCAATGCTCAAAAGATTGCACTTAATTCCCAATATGTACAAGACATCTTTGAGCCTTGAATGTCCACCATTCTTCCTTCCGATCAAAACATCTCCTACCTCTTTGGCGCTTAAAGTGGTTTCATCGGCAAACTTGACTTTACTCTTTGCCAGTTGATTGATTTCCACAAACCAATCCTTCCAACCCGTCATATGTGTTGAAAAACCGGAATCTAAGTACCATTCATCTTTACTTTGAACTCCATCACGCATTTCGATCCGAATGCATTTTCTCACCACTTTCGATCCGAATGCATTTTCTCACCACTTTCCGAAATAGTACAGTTGCTGTCCCGCAAACTATCACCACAGTAGCTGCTGTTCTGAACATAAACAGTGCCATAATTCTCCTCTGTGATCATCACTAGAAGGGTTTCTTCATCATCTCCCTCTTCTCTAGCAACCTTGGCTTCATCATTTCAAGTTTTATTCAATCTAACACGA